GAAGGTATTGGTTTTACTATGATGTGTTTTTTTATATTTTTTTTTTTTTTTTTTTTTTTTAATTGTAATTTGTTTAACTATATAAAATATCGATATTTTGCATCGATCACAATTATGTGTCAACTAAAAACTGAAAAAACATTCATAAAACCATTTGTTGTGTAAATAATACTGATAAATATTATTAAAACACTGTATTGAAATTGTTGTAAATTAAAATTACCAGTATTGAGTAATGGAAGCTCAAAAATATTTTAGCCTATGAAGCTATAATATAAAATATGTTTCTTTTTATAGAATTACAAGTTTTAGTAACAATAACATAAGTAATTATTATTATATTATTATTAGTTACTATGAATCAAAACAAGTTATAAGCAAATTGTAAATAAAAAAACTAATAAATCATTTGTTCTCAGAATAACATTATTATTGTTGTCATTGGATAATTATTTAAACGTTATACTTCAAAATAACTTCCTATTTTATTTTTCTAACTTACGAAATAATCCTTAAATACATAAAATTCTATGTTGGTAAAAAAATGTATGTTGCGAGGTAACAAAGGACGTCTCTACTGACCAAGTAGAGATATCCTAAATAAATTAGTAAAGCTGGGCAAATTAATGAAAAAAACCCAGCACGGGGGGGTCACGGCACAGTGGTGACGTGGCATAGTTGGATCAAGTATAATGATATCTGACAGTGATTAAAATCACTATAAAGAAAAAACGCTTCGATGCAAATCTTTAGATAGTGTTTAATTTTAAAAAATTGGTGTATTATTCCAAAAGCTACATGATCTGCTAGTTCCTTATTAATATCCTGATTAAGATATAGTATGTCAAATGAAAAAGAGATTATTAAAAAATATTATTTCTCATAAAAAATTGTATTGATCCATATATTTTTCAAAAAGTTATAGCACTTTAAAGTAAAAAATGTAAATTATAAAATTGAGAATTTTCACACAAAAATAACATTCGGTAGCCGTTTCCACCATGAAGACAAGTCCAGAGGTCAGAATTTTTTTTTTCAAATTAAAGTACATTACATTAGCTTTAATTTAAGATATATATAAAAGTGTCAGACCTTCCGGAACACTTTCAAAAGTTAAGTTAAAAAGTTAATTTTTTGTTAAAAAGATGTCTTTTTAAATCCCCCTCTGTGGGCAGATAAAGGGTCACATTTACAAAAAAAATATATCAAATAATAGATAAAAACATCAAAAATCTATAAAAAAAAAAATTATGTTGATATGTTCATTTTTGAAAAAGTTACAGCAGTTTTTAGTAAAAAAAATTGAAAAAATTTCGAAAATTAACGATATTTAAATTTGTAATTTTTTTGGAGGTTTTCTCCATTTACGGGGAACGAGGGAAATTTTTTCAATTTTTAAGGGTAATGTCTTCGACTAGATACGATTTGTGATCTTTTGACGTATCGTTGAAAGAAATCCGTTTGGTGAGAGCTGAGAAAAAGTGGTAACATACACAAAAAAAAAAAAAAAACACATCATAGTAAAACCAATACCTTCTCAGCTTCGCATCGAAGCTAAAATTAACTCAAGCAAAACTGAGTTATATAGAAACAATACCGATAAGTTAAAAGTTAAAATGAAAAAAATTATCAATTTAACTCGGTTTAAAAAAAAGTTTATTTACTTTTTAAATTAGTTGGGAATTACATAAAGAGTGATATTTTTTTTTCTGGTTTTCTAATTTATGAGTAACACTAGTACAACCTTATGGACTTGACCCACAATTTTAAAAAGTATTCCCTTTCCTCCCCTGTAATAATTCAAAGAATTATACATATTTACATATTTAGGCGGGAGAATGTCAATTTCTCACAGATTTATTCTAGCATCTAGTATAATTAATATTTGTAATGAATTTTTCATCGGAGTATAGAGTGTACATTATTAGCATACACAAAACATACTATTCGAGCTATTTGAGAATTTTAACAATAATGATAATAAGTGATAAAAATAATTGATATATTGTATCAAAATTGTTAATATTTTATGCCAATCTATCTAAGTGTAATGGTTTTTAATCGAGAAAAATAAATCGCAAATTTTATTACTTACATTTGAAACCACGTATGCGGCCAAAAATAAAGTCATACATTTCTATGACATTAATTTTAGCTTGACGGCTATTATACAATTAACTGATAAAAAGTCAAGTTATTTTAACGATATATCAAACTAGTTAAGTTTAAAAATTACTCAGAAAAATATTGAAATAGTTAAAAAAAACACAAGTTTGGCAAATAATTTGTGCAATATAAAAACCTTATAAGTTGTCGCAAGACTAATGGTGGTGAACTCTATCCGAAGTTTCGGATGAATAAGTTATTTAGTACCAGAAACTCATAAGAGTTATCGACAAGTGACATCATTATTCGAATCTTCTTATTGGACAACTACTTCGTTATGTGGTCACCAAATCGTAAATTGCTACCGCAACGCTGGACATTATTTCGAGACACCTGAACACACCAGTAATTCCTTATGAATTTCTGGTACTCAGTATTTATATTTGTACGCCGATAATAGTTTGGTGCGGTGTCCTTGCCACAACACGTCACGGCGACCAATCGCCGTCGCCGCAATGATCCATCTGTTGTCCTGCAGACGCCGAATCGTGTATAAAGTTATATGTATTCTACATTATTATATTAGTGATTTTTTTGCACTTGGACATCAAAATTGTCACTGTGATGTCAGCCAGTAGAACTATCACGATGCAACGACGTCGAAGCGGTTTAGTCGCGCGTTGTTGTGCTTCTTGCATATTCGCCAACTGTAATCGCATATTGAACACCAGACTACGTGATAACCAGAAACATGTTACTATATGAATTCCTGGTTCTTCACTTTCGTGTTAGTCACAATATGCGGATACCGATCTAATAATACAATTATGCCATTCGTCGCACGGTAACATGCATTTTTTATGCAAAATTTTACTTTGTGTACACAGGAAAAAATTCTGTATATGCCACATGAAAGTCAAAATATAAAAACACAAAATACACCTTTAATTAAGGGGACTCTGGGAAATGGTACGCATAGAGTAGTTAAGCATAACTCAATTACTCCTACGCTAGTGCCAGGGCTTAGGTGATGAGGAACAAAAATGATATCTAATTCAGTATATTATGTATACAAGATTTTAGAACAACAATAGTATTATTTTGTTGTTAAAAATCCAATATGTGAAAATCGTAATTAGTGATATAAATTTCAAAGTTTTTCAAAAAACATTTTAACAAAAAGTTATAATACTTATAATATTCATTGATGAAGTTCTTATTTTTAATTTAAAATATATTGAAATATTATAACATAATATGACATTTTCAGCAGAATGTTTTCTTCAGAAAATTCATTTGGTTAACTGCGCAATTGGTTTGAAGGTACAGCGTTGTATTGTCAAATTTAACAGAACATAATTTCACGTTTTATTAAAATAAAGCATAAATTGTTTGAAAGTTATAATAAATATACAAATTTAAGGATTAATTTGTAATTGTTCTTCATCCGGGATTAAGCAACTCCAAGTAGTTTTTAAAACAGGAGCTGATCAAAGAGGCTAAAGTACTCTGTTCCCAAATATTTCTACAATGTTGTAGCTCAACAAATATAACTGGTTGAAACGATGATTCCAAAGTAAAATAAATCAATATGGATTATAATCCTATAATTAATAAAGATACATATTTTCTTTTTCTGAAAAAAATATTTCAACTAGTATTTCTATAAGTTTCACAAATAATTATACTGAGGTTAGTAATGAAATAATTTTTGGTTTGAAGATTATACGAATAAATGTCAGCTTACAGTATTAAGTTTTCTTTAAATGTCCACTATTCCCCTGTGATATTTCATCTTATAACTGCTTTAATTTTTCTTGTGTGGGAGATTTTAAGTAATAAAATGAGTTAAAGTATTTCTTAATAACAATTTGGGATTTCAACATTTTCGGAGTTAACCTAATAATTTACTAAATGAACCCCGTTTTATTTATCTACTTGTTTTTTTAAAGAAAGACATAAGCAAATGTTATTAAAATGTTTGTCTCTCATTGAAATTTTTTACAACATAAAGTTAAATAATCTGACAAGTTAATTTATATACATTTTTAATGATGGTATTAAATAGTTTTTATTTAAACACATGAAATTAAAAATAAACTTTGTGTTTAGATTAATGAAGGACTATCTAACTTCAAAAAATTTCGCATGAGTAACAAATTTAACGACGACACTCGTACTTTTTTTTTATCCTTTCGTTGGTATTCATTGATAGTCACTTATAATAAATTATACACAGAAGAAACGTGGACGCTTTGTGCCATATTTTTCGTATATTGAGTGCTCGATGCTTTTTCCACAATAATACTAGTATTTTTCGTTCATTATTGTGTTAAGCTTATTTTTAACTTTTTAGTATGCTGTTCTTTAAAAGCGTGGTTCTTTATTTTTTTACTATATTTATTATCATATTTACAGTTAATTTGGGATTCAAAGTTAATTTTATACTTACGCTCCTTTTGTTTTTATTTGTTTTAACAATACATTCAGAATTCTATTTTTTTTATTTGGTTTCCTCTTTTCCTTCTTTTTCCTAGCCATAATCCCAACTACTTGAGGTCGGCCACCTTTATCTAAAACTTCCCCTTAACACGATCATCTCTTACATCATCTACGTACAATCACATATCACATTCAATAACATCTCTTTATCTCTTTCTTGGTCTTCCTCTACCTCTTCTTCCTTTAACATTCATTTCTATAACTGTTCTTACAGCTTCCGATTCTTCTTTCCTCATAACATGACCAAACCATCTAAGTCTATTTTCTCTCATCTTATCCACAATTTTCATTATCACAAAGTATGTTGTCAAGATGATTATTTATCATGGATTATTTGAGTAGGTAGGTGATCAACATTATAAAATAGAAAGTATATCACTACTCTGCTATTGTACATATTACATTTATATTTAATAGTTAGTAGTTATACCTACTAAATAATTATATGGTTAAACATGTTAAAATAATAATTGACAAAAACATTAACATTGTTTATTACTATTTTTTATATGAGTAAAACAAAATTTTGTTATATAATAATTTTATAATTTTGAACAAGTACATTAATTTGTTAAGACCGAGAAACAAATTTAACTATTTGGTTTTCAAATTAAATTAATAACACAAAAGAATACTTCAACAATATCACAGAAATAATATTAAAATATATTGTTTAAAACCGATGTTCAAATCCTTTAGCCATACCCGTCCATCTGTTTGGTACAGATAAAAAGTATAAATTCATAGCTGTTACAAATCTATTTTTATATTCTTCAGGAGAAATAATCGTTGGTAATTTTCCTTGACCACCTAAAAGTCCTGATTTTTTAACCATAGTCTCTAATTTTTTGTCCCACGTAAATGTTCGAATATAATCTAAACAATATTATAAATGACATTAAATAACTATAAAAATAGAATAAATTTATATCTAATAAATAATTTACCTATTATGCCTAAAACTAATTGTCCAGAATTATCATCAAGACCTACCAAAAGTGAATAATCCACAATTATCTACAATTTTCGATACACCTATACTCTATCTTATATTTCTTATCTTATCTTCTCTAGTTACTTCACTCGTCCATCTAAGCATTCTCATCTCTACTACATTTATTCTCTGCTTTGTTCTCTTATTAACAGCCCAACAATTTGAATCATACATCATAGCTGGTCTCACTACAGTCTTCTCTCCGCTTCAGCCACCCACATTTAATCATGTGTCATACATACTCATCAATATCACTGTTCTTTTTCACAACTAATTCTCAATATTTAAAACTTTCCACCTCATCTATTACGTTCTCGCTTATTGTCACTGATCTCCTAATTTCACCTACCTCGTGTTTTCCTTGGTCAAGCTTGTACTCTATATACTCTGTTTTACTCCTACTTATTCTTAATCCCTTTCCTTCAAGACCTGATCTCCACACCTCTAGCCTTTCATTTACATTATATCGCCAGCTAACAACATGCATCACAATACCTCTCCGTGTATTTCTCTAGTAATTTCATCCATCATTATAAAAAATAAGTAAGAGCTTAAAGCAGAACTCCTACTCTTACCCTAAAACAACAAAAATAATTTTTAATGAAGCCATAACAATCTTATTTACACTTATTTGGTTTCCCAAAAATTTTATCATTTATATGGCTTCTTTTTCAATTTTAAAGAAGCCATATAACTACAAAAATAATTTTCAATGAAGCCATAACAATTTTATTTACACTTATTTGGTTTCCCAAAAATTTTATCATTTATATGGCTTCTTTTTTAATTTTAAAGAAGCCATATAACTACAAAAATAATTTTCAATGAAGCCATAACAATTTTATTTACACTTAATTGGTTTCCCAAAAATTTTATCATTTATATGGCTTCTTTAAAATTTTAAAGAAGCCGTATAACTTTTCTCCTTCTTTTTCCTCACTATAATCCCAACTACTTGAGGTCGGCCACTTTTATCCAAAACTCTCCCTAATACGATCATCTACGTACAATCAGTCGTCCATGTATCGCATTCAATAACATCTCTTCATATATTTTTTGGTCTTCCTTTACCTCTTCTACCTTTAACATTCATTTCTATAACTATTCTTACGGCTTTCGATTCTTCTCTTTTCATAACATGACTAAACCATCTATGTCTATTTTCTCTTATCTTATCCACAAATGACGCTACATCTAAACTCCCTCTTATATGGTCATTTCTTATCCTATCTTCTCTAGTCACTCCACTCATCCATCTAAGCATTCTCATCTCTGCTACACTCATTTTCTGCTCTACTTTCTTATCAACGGCCCAACACCCTAAACCATACATCATAACTGTTCTCACTACAGTCTTGTAGAATTTACCTTTCAGCCTCATTGGAATTCTTTTATCGCATAAGACACCAGACGCTTCTCTCCACTTTAACCACCCGCACTTAATTCTGTGTCTTATATCCTCGTCAATACCACCACTCTTTTGCACAACTGACCCTAAATACTTAAAACTCTCGAATCACGTCCTCGCTTATTGTCACCGGTCTCCTTATTTCACCTACTTCGTATTCTCCTTTGTCAAACTCGTACTCTATATACTCTGCCTTACTTCTACTTATTCTTAAACCCTTTTCTTCAAGAGCTGATCTTCACACCTCTTTAAACTTTAATATATTGATATTTTGCAAGTATAATTAATATGTTCTTTCGTGACTATTTATTTTTTATTTTTATTTTATTTTATTTTTGACCATATGTGGTAGGATGAAGGGAAAGTTGGAGATGGGAGTTGTTTCTTGTGTTATGGGAAGGGAATCGGAAGGATATATTGAAAAGAAGTTCAAGAGAATCAATGGAACTATTGAGAAGGGATTTTATAAATGAGATGTCAACATCCTCTCTGCGGGATGCTAAGGAAGTCGGATAGCGGTGCGAATAGAGGAGTAGTCATGAGGAGGATAATTTATTTTCAAAAGGAAGGCAGCATAGGAAAGGAATTTATTTTGTACTTTTTTCATTCTAATAATATCTTTAACAAGGTAAGGGTGCCACACCACAACCCCATACTCTAGTATAGATCGAACCAGAGACAGATAGAGGACACGGAGACAGGAGGGAGAGGAAAAGTTCGAAGTATTTCATTTAATAAAGTCTAATACTTTTCTATCAATAATATTTTTCATATGGAAATCAAAGGAAAGAGATGGTGAGTAGTACATGCCGAGATCTTTGATAACGGAAACACAGTTAAAAGTTGAGCCTTCAATGGAGTATGAATGATGTAGAGGGGAGAATTTACGAAAAACTGATATTACATGACATTTTTTTGTATTAAGAGGTAAGTTGAACTCCTTGGCCCAATTGGAGAAGGTGTCGAGGTCTGATAGAAGGAGTGAACAGTCGGATAGTGAGTTTATGTTGAGAAAAAATTTGATGTCGTCGGCAAAAAGAAGTACTTTAGAGTTTAGGAGAAAATCGGGAAGGGAGTTGACATAGAGGGTGAACAAGAGAGGGCTGAGATGACCACCTTGAGGAACGCCAGAAGGTATGATGCAAAGATCAGAAAGCATACCATTAATTGAAACGAGTTGCCTTCTGGAGTCTATATAAGATGACATTCGTGAGAGAAGTGGTTTGCCAAATTTATGAATAAAGCTATACAGTTATAGCTTGTTATATTCAACTAAATAAAAACCATCTAGTTATAAGGAAAATGACGAATTGTGTTATATTGGGAGCTATTAAACGGATATAATAGAATGCCGCTCATGAAGGTTATTTTCAATGAACTTAAAGATTCTCTGACATACCATAATTACTATCAGAACAATGTTGAGATATGTAGCACCAGATACATGCGACTTAATTTTAAGTAATGTATTAAACATCGACAGAACACCACCGTTCCCAGGAAAATTAAAGTGTTTTAATTGTACATTATATTAAATTGGCTCATGGCGTGATGTTTTAAGTAACTTTTAGAAGAAAAACTTCATGTTATGCGGTTGACAAATGCATGAAATTATCTTCAAATGCTAAAGCTAAAACCTGAAATTGAAATGACGACTAATTTACATTTGGCCATGCATACTTGTGATTTGATTAATCGAGAGAGAAGTAGTTTATGTCAAACTTTGTTAGTTGCTCTAATACATTGTGTGCCAAAAGATTTTTGTTAAAATGAAGTCACCATTTTTATTGGAAAATTAATCATTCCGAGTTTCCTTATAGGAAAGAAAAAACTTTATTTATTAAAGCGAACTGCCTGACATTCGGGTTACCAATTTGACACAGTGAAAAAATTTAAAATCATATAGTTAAAATGATATAAAAAAAACATTTAATTCTTGAAAAATTATGGCTGGACAACTTAAAACTATCAAAAGATAAAGTAGGTACTATTGAGAATGATCGCCAAGAAAAAATTGTTTAAGATTGTTAAAGAAAAATATCTTATTCTTTATTAGAAAGCGAAGATCAAATAATTCCAATTCTGTTGAATTAATAATATATATGAAACTCCTAGAATATCCTACAGTTAATAAGCTTTATTTTGATATGTTATTCTATAATTTCAAATGAAAAACTTAACAAATGTAATAACCAGTGGCGTATTATGTCCTCCATGTCTGGACACCCCCGACTTAAAAAAAATTGCCTAATATATTGGTATTAACTTTTTTTATAATATACTATATTTATTTACTATAAAATAAATGGTATTTTAAATAAATAATAAAATTGAAGATAATTTGATAGGATTCAACGACACGTATTTATTTATCTACTTTTTATCAGAGATTTCTAGAAATTATTTGGATTTCATTGGGTCATTAGATAACAAAAATACCCGTAGCAAAAATATAATAACAACGGAAATATTCTGAACTTGTAGTTCATTTTTAACTTTATTTTATAGTTTATCAGTTTAGAGAATTATAAACAAATAAGTTTAGTTACCCCTATTCAATATACCGCATTCATAAAAAATACAGAAAATAATTTTTTAAAATTAAAATAGTATTTAAAAAGTTATTATCAATTTAAAGTACTGACTAGGGATTGTTCTTCTGTTATTCTTAACAATGCAATACCATTAACAAATTGAACTCAAATTACATAACTTAACAACCTATAATATATAACCGATTGACTGAAAAATAATTATAAGAAATAATTGTACATAATTTTTTGATCTATTATACGAATACCCCTGAGCTTTTAACAAAACATTGTTTAATCTGATTGTAAAAAATCATATTTTTATAATAATAAAATTATATAAATTAAGCTCTACTGAAATATCATAATTTTTGTTACAATATCCTTAATTGTTCATTCCTGAAAAATTACAGTTTTTAACATTTAAAAATGAGTTTAAATTTTTGCGTTAAGTAAATCATAAATATTTTTATTTTATTATTATAGAGAATTTTTCAGAGAATAAATATTTATTAACTTTATTGATGTGACATCAAAATTTAAATTAATAGAGAACTTTAAAGTATCAAATATCTTAATTTTCATTAGTTGTTAAAGTCACCCTAAATATAAAAAATTGAGGGTTTCGACATTCAATATAAATATTAATAAATAAATAATTTAGTTTCTAATGCTATTTTTTATTATTTAATATTTTTTCAATAATACTAAAATTGGTTTCCATAGCTTTAAACCGTCGTGTTAGTTTATATTATTAAAATTCAATCGTCAGTTCTACGATTACTTAAAACTCGAGTACTTCACATCACAATTTTTCATCTCAACAGTGTTTAAAATTTGAAAAAATGATCAAAAACAGGAAAGAATTTTTGATAGGTCTAATTCAACTCTGTCTTTTATCTTCTTATTCATTTTGTATATTATTAGTCGTTTTGTATAAGCTTTATCGATATTTTATT